GTTTCAGCACAGACCTTGAAGAACATTTACATTTTTATTTTATGCAATCTGTGACACTAATTAGGTCTCAGCCTAAAGCAACACAGAGTTTGATTACCACTGTAGGCTGTCAAGGTCAGTGTCACACTGGCCTAAAGACTAGTTGGAGACCACCTGACAACCACCAGTTGCTAGGAAAAATCAGTATTCCCCAACTGGTTGGAGGCAGTCATTGGCAGCCTCTATAACTGATTGCTGGAGCCGCAGCCACACACTACAAAAGGACAGTTAGCATTGCTGGTGTTTGCTGCTGTTGCTGTGTAAAACTGGTTGACCTGTTGGCTAAGCAGCAGTGAAACTGTGAAGAGTGGGATACAAATCAGACATTTAATCTGCCTTCAAATTAAAAGTTGACTGTTTTGCTGGATTTAGTGGTGAGGCACTTTTACTTTGAAAGCAAACATTCTCCATTTCCGATTTGTAGCACGTTTTCAAGTTTCACTGCTGCTCTGTGGTTAATATCTGACATCGTGGCATGTTTTATAGAAACTAAAGTTTGGAGGTTGTGTGACTGATTCCACCTGGTGACAGCAACAGGTCCAGAGTAAATGAGAAAGGGTCCTCGACCAGCCTCTAGGCCTGAGTGAATGAGCTCTAAGCTAGCCAGCTGTTAGTTTGCAGCAGTGCCGTTTTACTTAAGAACCAACTAACTTTTCATTAATTAAATAATCCTAATGCTGAGATGACTTAATTTCTTCGAACACAGAGCAGAAACTGTCGTACCAGGTTAGCACTAGCTAGTCCCGTTAATGCTGCTGTTTCTGTGCTTATGAAAACTGTTAGCAAGTAAGCTAACAGGAAAATAACCAAGCAAAGTCTACGAGGTATTTATACACCTCCCTGACTGTTTTATTTTTCTGGCTAAAACTGAAGAAAATGTTAAAAATACTGAACACATGTTTGCATTTTAATCTCATGCTAATCTAATACTTGGATATAGGCTTAAGGAGCCTCCTTGGGGGATTTATTGCAGGATTTTGCCACCGTCTGTTTGAATTACTTGCCATCACTGGACAAAATACTCAGTTATGGTTGCTAAGGTTTATTTTTATGGTGAATGGTCCGAGGATCACGTACCTGTGTCAGGACAAGGGCTGAGGTTACAGGAACGGTACTTGACACGAAGGCCGTAGCAGTATTTGCCTCCGTTTTCAGGGACAGGGTTGTTGCACTGTCTTCTGGCCAGCTGAACTCCCCCTCCACAACTTCTGGAACAGTCACCAAATGAACCCCACTTCCCCCACCGACCATCGACCTGAGACAAAAGAACGATCAAAGCTGTTCACTAGTCTGTGACAAAGATGCTGGAGCAGGCTGGGATGCTGCTTTCTTTCCACGCCCCGTCTCACCTTGATGTGCTCGGTGCTGTTCTTCACAGAGCAAGCCCCCTGGTAGCAAACCTTGCCGTCGCCACAGCTTGTGCCGTCGGCCCAGGGGAAATGTCGAGTTTGGCAGACCAGCTGTCCTCGGGCCTTTCCCGTGCACCACAGCTTGGAGCAGGGCTGCATGTAAGGGCAGGGTTTGGAGCCGGGGCCAAATGCAAGCTCGCACTGACGGTGCAGGCTGTAGCTGGAGCCGGGCAGGCTGTCGGGCAGCGTCAGCTGCTTCTGAGGCTGGTCCAGCAGACAGTCTCCTAGAAACACACCGAGAGTAACAGCAAAGCTTTATTCGTGGAGTGATCAGCAGAGATGGGCAGTAA